GAACCCGCCACCTTAGGTGTATGTGGCTGGCGCCTTAGCCACTTGAGCCACAGGCACCAAGCCTCCTGAGGGTTTTCTGATGGAGTGAGGGAAAGCTGCAATATTCAGAGAGCTGGGCCTCTGCCTTTCCCACTGGAGTCTAGTGCCCACCCTGGCCTCAGGGTCTGTGTACCTTGTCCAGAGCCCTACTCACAGGGGAGGAAGCTGCTGCAGAGGCTTGTCAGTCTGGGACTGCCACACCAGTAGGGGTGGAGCCAGGGCCCAGCCCCTGAGTTCTGACCTTCTTAACCACCTTGGCTCCTCCTTCTGGGCCCCAGGCTGGGGATCAGAGACAAGAACTCACTCCCACTCCTCACTTCCAGCAAGGCCTTTGCAAACCCCATTGAAACTGACCTGAAACTAACCAGAAACTGACCCCAAGGCCCTGTGGCCTGACCAAGAAGCTCAGGCTGGTTCTGCTAGGTGCTAGGGTGCTACCAGTTAATGTATGACACCTCTACCCTCATGGTAGCACTTTAACCAGAGGCCTGAGGGTGAATTAAGGGATCAGTGGCCCCACCCACAGCTGTGGAATGTCCAGCAGGGGATTCTAGGGTGAGGCATATAAGTTTATAAGTACAGCTAGGGGGATGCCCTTAAGAGACCCATAATCCATCAGATCTCTCTGCAGCCCCATCTACAGCCCGCCCGGTCTTCCCAAGTACAAATATTATTTGTTTTCAAATCTTAAGCTTTCTCATGTCAGAACTGAGGACTGCCTCACCCCATCATCCCCTATGTTACCTCTCAGTCCTTCCAATCACTCCATGAATGTTCTTTTCTCATCACCAAGGGAGGGGGGTGGGAGGTCAACTGTCATAGAACAATAAAACATAGAGTCATGTAGAAACAGAGACATAAAGCTGAGACCATCAAAATGTAACACTGAAGAACCCCAACTATTCTTTGGGTGCTCACTCTGGGGTACCTGGATCTCTGTTCCTGTTTCCAAGGAGCATAGGAGGAAGCCTGAACTCAAAGTCACTCCAGTAATGGATCACATGCAGACACAAAGAGGGGGCATCCTTTACACAAAGCAGAGGAAACAACTAAGATAGAGACAGGGGAGTGAATGTAGAGAGAAGGCCAGGAATCTAGTTGACAGTGCCAGTTGGAGAGAGTCATCTTTGGAGGAAACTGTCTCAAACAGCACTGTCCTTCAATGCCAAGTCAGAAAACTTGAGGGCAGTGACACGGACGAGGGGTGCAGCCATAGAAATTTGTGGGGAAGACAGCTATGGGTGCAGTCTGGAAGATGGGTGGGCTTGAGTCTGAAGAGGTGGATTGAGCTGGATTAGGCTTGGGGTCCATTCATACTGAGGTTTAGAGGGCAAATTTAGGGGCTCTGAGAAGCTCAGTTTCCACAGGCTTAGTCTGGAGAGCCCCTGCAGCCCACTGACCTGGACACCCACCCTCAGAGGCACTAAACAGTAAAGTTAAAAGTGCCCTTTGAATCAACTGGTCAACTCCCCCATTTTACAGATGAGGAAACTGAGGCCCAGACAGTGAGAGAGTTTTGGGACACACGATTGGTAAGTTGACAAGCAAAGGCTGCCACTTAGCCCAGTGAATATTTTCCACAACCACTTACAGTTGGCTTCCTCCCACCATTCTTAAAGCTCGACCTTCCAGGCATTCCAGCCCCTCCTTCAGTATCAGCTTCCCCACCTGGTACCCAGAGGTGACAGGCTTGAGGTTGAGGGACCCCTCCTTTCACAGCTCAGGCTTCGCCACCAAGACCCCTAGGATCCCCTCTCCCTTCCCCTAAATTGAGGGTCCCCAGCAGAACTAAGCTGGTGGAAAGTATTTGTGGGTGGGATGAGGGAAGTGAAGCTCAAGGGTCAGTGTTGGGGCTGAGCCCCAGGAATTGCAGCCTGCCAAGATTGGAGCTGGGGGCGGAGCTGAAGAGGCCTGGCCAGCAGCTGAATGGGGCGAGACTGGGACCCATAGAGACACTGGGCAGGGAGCGAGTGAGACTTGCGGCTGGAGACCTGGGCAGGGGTGGGGGCGGGTCTAGGGCCGAACAGACCCACCTTCTGGGGGATGGAACTGAGAGTGGGGGGCGAGGTGGGGGTGGCCGCGGCCGGGCCAGGCTCAGAGCTGGCAGCAGAGCAGGCTCCCCAGGGACCCCGACCCAGCCCCAGTCGGAGCCCAGCTGGCGGACAGACAGCACTGCAAACCGGGGCCGCGCGGGACACTGGGCGGCCTCTCCAATGGATGCTCCGGTGAAAAGGGCCTGCTTCTCGGGTCCTTATTTACCAGCCAGACCATTAGAAAAAATTTAAAAGTCCGTGCTTTAGCAAAGAAGAGAATGAAGCGGCGGCAGCATCCCAGGCTCAGTTCTTGGGTTCAAATGTCAGAGTCCCCCCCACCTCCGCCCTGTCCCCCAACACTCACATCCCACTGGTGTAGTACCCCGGGCCACGACCTCTAGAGAAATGTCCTGGGGCAGGGGACAGTGAGTTCTGCTCTGCCCCTTCACACATCCGCGTCGGAGGCAACCGGGATGGGTAGAGGCGGGAGAGGCCCAGGGAGCGCGCAGGGGAGGGAAGAGGCGCCCAGGCCGCGGCGAGGGGGGGGGGGAGGAGAAAGAGCAGCAGACGCCGAAGCAAGGGACGCGCGCGGCGGGCGGTGGCTCGGAGCAGCGGCCGGGCGGGGGGCGCTGGAGGTCACGCCGGCCAGGGGGCATCCCGAGAGCTCCATGAAGTCCCCCCGGGGCCGCGGACGGGGCGCTAGCTTGGGGAGGCTGTCGGGGGGGCCCCGACATCCATGGCAAGGCGGGGGCCGCGGCGGCGTGCTCAGAGTAAGTCGGGGCCGGGGGCCGGAGCCGAAGGGAGGTGGCTGGGGTAGGGATCACTCCCGGCCTGGCCGGGGCAGCCAGGCTAGGCTGTCTCGGTGTCAGTCGGCTGCGCCTCTTCGGAGCACAGCAGAGCCGCTAGACTCGGTGGCTTTTTTGGAAACTTGCAAATGTTTTCGTAGAGAGAGAAGGGGGAGGGGAGGGAGAGAGCGAGGGAGTGACCGAAACTGAGCTGGGGCCGCTGGAAGAACTGAGGCCAAGGCTGGGGGAGCTAGAGACGGACTGACAGACAGGCAGACAGAGCATCCGGGCGCTAGCGCGCTCAAGCCGCGCGGGCGCGAACCAGACTCTGGTCGAGGATGGGGAGTGGGCGCGGTAGACGCCGCCGAGGAGATGGGGGCCTAAGGGGCCAAAAGGCTAAGAGCTGGCGTCTTGAACACTGAAGGGCTCAGTGTCGATGCAAAGTTGGGATCTCGTCCCCTAGCTACACGCCCCGCGCGGCTCAAAACATGCCCCCAGTCCGGTCCGGACTCCCCTACTGCGGAAAGCCGCTGAGCTAAAAATAACAGCCCTGTTCGCCCCCTGCAGACCGCGACCCCGACCCCTCCCTCGCCCCCTCCCCCACTGGGCGTGGGGCGAAGCCACAGCTCCCAATTCCCCAAAAGAAAAAAAAGAAAGAAAAGGCGGTGCGGGAGGGGGGCGGGGGGCGGTCCGGGGGCGGGGGGCCCGGCCATATGGATGTGATTTCTCCGCTCCAAGGCAGACGGGCCGCTCCGCCGCGCTCGGCGCCCGCCCGCCGCCCTCCCGGCCTCCGGCTGCCTCCCTCCTTCCCTCCCACCCTCCCTCTCTCCTTTGCGCTCTCGCTCGCTACCCCTCAGCGCATGGGCCCCGCACCGGGCCCCGGGGCCTCGGGCCGCCGGGACGCCGGGGTCCCCTAGGCCGGGCGTGGGCGGGGCTGCCCAGCCTGACGCAGCTCTGCACCCCCCACCACTAGCAGGGCCGGCGGCGGCGGCTGCCCCGAGGGACACGGCCCTAGGCGGTGGCGATGGGGGCCGCCCGGATCACACCCGGCCTGGCGCTCCTGCTCTGCTGCCCAGTGCTCAGCTCCGCATATGCGCTGGTAAGTCCTCCGCCGCCAACACTCCAGGACAGGCTGCGGGCTTCCTCTGGGGTCCCTGAGATGGGTCTAGGGCACGGAGTCTTGGAGTTCCCGCATAAGACTTAACTTTTCTGTGAGAGTCCCCTCTGGGTGCCTGCTATCTCTGGGATGTGTGGACCATGGGTTCTAGATGCCCGAAGTCTCTCTCTTTTTGAAGCCTTGGTTTGGAGTCCCAGGTCTGGAAATCTTTGATTGGGACATGAACACCATGGCTGTATCTCCCTTAAAGATGACAGTGTGATCGAGAGGGAGTCTGTGTTTGGCCCAAGTGTGGAATCCCACAAACTGCTTTGGGGACCTCTGTTTTCTGCAAGTTTTGTTTTCAATCTCCAACATGGGGATCTAGGTCTGAGGCCAGAATAATCCAGGCAAGGGGTAAGATTTAGGGGCCCCTCCACCTCTGATGATCATGCACATACATACTTGCATGCACATATGTCTAGTTTTACCCAGAGTTGAAGCTGTTTGTCCAGGGAGGAGGGATGGCAGTGCCCTGAAGGAAACTGACCTCACAGTACACCCCTTCAGGAGAAGAAGGCTTGAGGGGGACTCTGGTAAGTGAGGAGACCCCTGGGAATACTGTGCACTCCCCTGAGAGTGGACACTAAGAGGCAGAATGATAGGGAAGACTAGGGAGAGGCAGAGACAAAGGGAGTGGGGGTGAGAGCTCCCCAGAGCAGGAGGGGTGGACAGACCAGGAACAGTAAAGAGAAACAGGGACAGGCAGGCAGAGGCAGAGACCTGGAACACAGAGGGGACAGCAAGCCCCTCTTCATCCTGGCCTAGGGCCTAGGGTCCATTTCTTGGTGAGGCGGGTGTCCCATCCCCTCAGTCACATCTCACAGCAGCCCTATCCTGGGGACCAGTCCATTTGTGCAGAGGCTATCTACCTGTGTGCCTAACTTCAAAGTCCCTTCCCCACCCAGGTAGGGGCTTCTGCCTTCTAGAGAGAGGGGCAGATGGGCAGTCTCCTCCTAACCAGCAACAGCTCCCTACCCAGCACAGAGTCCTGTGCAGGGAGGCAAGACCTCAGCCATTCCTCCTTCTCTGCCAAATCCCTGTGTAACCTTAGGCTATTCTTCTCCATACCTCCATTGCCCCATCTTGAAAGAGGACATGAAGGAAACATTTATTTACTTAAGAACCCAGTTATCTGAGGCTCTCCCTTGGTCTGTGGTCCTCAGCACTCCCTATTCACCTGTGCCCATGCCCTTGCACTCTGAGCCTTAGCAAAAGCTCCCTAAAGCCAAAGACAGAGCCCCTATGAGGACTTGTAGATGGGAAAACTGCAGAGCGCTCCAAACTCTGGCGAACTCTAGGGGGCCAAGCCATTTCCTCATGCTTCTCTCAGTGAGCTATGTATGTGAACATATATGTGTGCATGTGACTGTCCAAAGAGTAGACAAGGTGGTGGGTGTAGATGTCCTGAGAGTACATCTGTGTGTCAGAGAGGGCTGTGTAGGACTCTGGGCATAGTGTTCTTCTGCATCTGTGTGGTTGTGAGTGTCTGATTTCCCATGTGAGTTCTTGTGTGGGTAAAGTTTTGGGTCAGCACATGACTTATAGAGCACAGCTGTATGTACCTGTGTGTGCATTTTCCAGCTTATGTGTACTCAGGTCTATTATTTCTTATTTGTATTTAATAAATGTGCCTGTAGTGCTTTCTACTTGCCAGACATTGTGCTAAGCCTTCATATGTGTTACCCTGTTTAATCTTCCCAACAACCATCTGAAGAACTTTTCTTTTTTTGAGACAGAGTCTCATTCTGTGCCCTCGGTAGAGTGCCATGGCATCACAGCTCATGGCAACCTCAAACTCTTGGGCTCAAGCAATCCTCTTGCCTCAGCGTCCCAAGTAGCTGGGACTATAGGCTTTGGCCAAAACTCACAGCTATTTTTAGTAGAGACGGGAATATCACTTTTGCTCAAGCTGGTCTTGAACTCCCGAGCTCAGTCAATTCACCCACCTTGGCCTCCCAGAGTGCTGGGATTATAGGCATGAGCCACCGAGCCTGGCCATTGTCCCCATTTTTTTTTTTTTTTGAGACAGTCTCTCGCTTTGGCACCCTCCAATAGAGTGCTGTGGTGTCATACCTCACAGCAACCTCAAACTCTTGGGCTGAAGCAATCCTCTTGCTTCAGCCTCCTGAGTAGCTGGGACCACAGGTGCCCACCAAAACATCTGGCTATTTTTAGAGATGGGAGGTCTTGCTCTGGCTCAGGCTGGTCTCGAACCTGTGAGCTCAGGCAATCCACCCACCTCGGCCTCCCAGAGTGCTAGGATTACAAGTGTGAGCCACCGTGCCTGGCCTCCATTGTCCTCATTTTTAACTGACCCAAATTACACAACGACCATTTTTTATCTCATGCCAACTAAGTGGCAACCCCTGTGCTTCTATGTGTGGGAGGATATGGGTACGTGGAGCCCCACGCTGCTCTCCAGGGAAACTGCGGTATATGCAGAGAATCTGCTGCCTTTGCCTTGTTCCATGGCTGAGGGTAAGGTAGGAAGAGAAATGCCAATGCTGGGCCTGCTGCAGGACCTTGTGGGAGCATGTGAGTTCACTGGACACTCCCTGGCTTCAGGACTAGAGGATTTCGACTGAGAGGCAGAGATGCAGCCTACTCACCCATTCAATGTCCTGTGGGCCCCCTGGGCTCAGCTGCACTAGTGCACTCCAAACCCGTCAACTTAATCTGATCACCCTTGTCACCAAACCTGTATACAACCTGCCCAGCCAGCCCCCAAGACCAGGCTCATATTTTCACTGACCTCATATTTGAGAGGCCAAAGATCATGGCACAAGGAAGATGCTGGCTGTAGCCAGACTTAGCTGGTCCCACTATGCCTTACAGGAAAGAGCACCTGGGAGGCCAGGGCTGGGGTGATAGAAGGGTGAAGTTGGGAGGAGGGGATGGGTCCCTACATTGTGAGTAGAAGGCAAAGGGGCACTCTTGACCTTGGGGATGCCTCATCATAAGGACCCTCAAGGCTGAAGCTCAGTGGAACAGGCCTCATGTGCGGAGATTTGACCCCTGGGTAGGACTCCGAAGAGACAGTGGTGAGGACTCTCAGGCTAGGGATGTATGGGAACCCCAGCCTGCTCCAGGGGCAGCTTGACCATGAAGCTCACTTTTGAAGATAGGAAGGACATGTATTGAACACTGGCTGTCCCCTGATTCTGAGCTAGAACTTGTCACAAATGTTTTCTCATTCTATCCATTCAGCCAGCCAGTTTATGAAAGGTTTCTAAGGGACGTGTTACAGCCAGTCTGTGGCACAGTGGGATTTGAATCCCTGTCTTCAGACTTCCATACTGAGCTCCTTCCTCCAAAGCAGTGTGAGAGTTGCTGCTGGCAAGATATCTCCATGTCTTACTCTGGGTTTTCTTTTTCTTTCTTTTTAAAAAATTAAATCCTTCTATTATTTTACTTTCTTATTTTTAACTTTGTAACTAATACATGAATATGTTCTTTCTTATGAAAGAGTCACATAATACATTTTAAACAGAACTCCCTGTGATCATTCCCAGGCCTCATTCCCTTTTCCGGGGAAAACCATGTCTAACAGGCTGGGTAGAGGGTTTGTCCTCCATATCTCTTTCTGTATGCTTCTAAAGGGTACTTTTTTGTGCACTCGTTAAATAGATAGTTTCATTTTGTTTTCTTTTTGTCTGGTTCATGATTTTTAAATAAATGGCATCAGTTTTTAGATAGGGTTCTGCCATATGCATTTTTTACTTAAAGGTGTGTATTAGAGATTTTCATGTCAGTAAATATAAAAAGCTATCTTTTTTTAATGCTACGTGGTATTCTGAAACCTGGGATTTATTTATGCAGTCCCTAGAAATATACATTTAGATTGCTTTTGCATACTTTCATTAGTTGTGTATGATTCCAAATGGTGACAGGGAAGCTCCTTGAAATACCCTATTGTGTCCCCATGTGACTCTTTCCCAGTAGGATATTTCTAGATTTTGTCATTGCTGGGTTTTAGAACATGCACATTTTTATTTTAATAGGCACAGCCGATTTGCCCTCCAAAGAGTGTGTGCCAATTTATACTCGTAACACCAAGACTGACCAGGAGGACCTCTCTCCTCACACCTTCTACCTCATAGGATATTGTGAGGATTCTTTCCATTTCACCTTTGCCATTTGGAGAGATGAACATTGGTGTGCTTTGTCATTTTAATTTGCTGATTACCAATGACTTTTGGACTTTACATTAATTTATTGTCCATCTTCTAAGAGAGCTTGCTCAGAGCCATTACCCATCTTTCTATTGGGTTATTTATCTCTTTGTATTGATTTGTTGAAGCTTTTTATATCACCTGCTCTTAAACACCACCACCATCACCACCCCAGCTCTCAGAACTGCCTGTGGACAGAGCAGTAGGGGGGGGCCTAGCCCTCCCGGGAACTTGGGTTTTCTTCGGAATGTTTTAATGAGGCGTCAAGCAGCCTCCCCCAGATTCCTGTTGTGGGCCTTCTGGGGACACTCCCTGGTCCAGCCACCACATCAGGAAGGTAGCTATTTCAAGAGCGTCCCCAGGAAAAAGAAAAGGTGGGGTGAGGCTTTAACAGACCCCTGAACTTTTCTGAAAAATATTATGTGACTGGGAGAAGGCGCTCAGGCTTACAAAGACATCATAGACCTCCAACCCTTAAGAACCCAACTCTAAGCCCAGCCTTGTGCCCAAGGGTAGACCTGACAGGACCCCATTCTGCCAACCAGGATAGGTTTAGTTAGCCCATACCATCCTTCCAGATGTTGGTCCCCAGCCCAGGTAGGGGCCAGTTGTGAAGACCCATAGGGTCCTAGGAGCCAACTCTGCCATCCCAGGTTTTATCCTACTGCCTGCCCTGAAGGCGGCCACGCTGGCTGGCCAGGATGAGAGGCATCACAGTGCCTCCCCCCAGCCCCTCCCAGCCCCAAACACAGGCAGCCTGTTCAGGAAGGCCTGGCAAGGGGGAGGAAAAGTCAGCACTTGTCAGCAGTGGTAGGGCAGGATGAGGAGCCTGCTCGGGCCAGTCGGACAGACAGAGGGCAGCAAGGGATGGGGTAGCAGTACTAGCCAGCTGGCATGGGAGACAATGACCTATGCCAGCATGGGTCCCAGTACTGGAACCTGAAGGAGGGCTGCAGGAAGGCCAGGAGGTCATGAAGGGGTCCCCTGTTAGCCAAGGTTTTCTCCTTCTGACTTTGCTGAAGGCATCAAAAACCCTAACTGTCCTCTGTTCATTTAGAACTGGGGACCAGCTGCCATCACCATCATCGTCTCTGTATCTACTTCCACCTCTAAATTATGTTTGAGAAGTCTGGCTTGGGGGTCTGCAAAGAGAGGCTTGCTTGCTACAGCAAAGGATACAACCCAGAAGGACTCTGTGGCTGGGTATTGCCTCTTTTCTTTCCTTTTCCCTAGGGCTGCTGCTTAAGTGTCAAGTGGACCTTTGCCCCATTTCTGACCCTCCTCTTTCTATCTGAGACTCTCAGCCTCAGTATCCCTGTTTGTAAAATGGGGATATGGTAGAATGTGAAGGAAACATGGGTAAAGCTCCTAAAACAGAAACCCATATGTGCCCCGCCATTTCATACAGCACCTCATTTAATCCTCACAACAGCCCTATTATTACCCTGATGTTACTGAGACTCAACAGGGGGAGGGCGCACTAGAGCAGAGAGCATTGAAGCTGAGCCCTATCTATGATGGTTGGGGAAGGGGAAGTCATACCAGCCCAAATCTTAGGCCACAGTAGGGATGTTGGTGGGGGTGGGTAGAGATATAGGATACCTGCTGCAAGACTGGGTAGTTTCACCAGTGGTGGGTATGGACAAAGTGACCCCTGGTCAGGACCCTCACCCCTGAAACCCAAGAGATCTGCGGACTTTCTGGATATAAGGTGACATAAGTCTGTGTCCTCTGCACCCTGGTGCTGGGCCAAGAAGCCAGGAATACTCTAAGGGAAAGGGGTTGGTGGGGTGGAGGGAAGGGAGTGTCAGACAGGAGGATGTCAGGCTAAGGTACAAATCATAGTTCTCAGCATTTTCCCCCTCATGCCCGGGAGATAAGGCCTCCTCAGCTACAGAAGAGAAAGGGGATAGGGTCCTTTTATTGCCCGCCCCCATACCTAAGCTCAAAGGGCCCTGACAGTGACTTTGTGTGAGTCTAAGATGGATTCAGAAATACAAAGAGTCATTGGGGTGTCTTTCAACCCCCAAAGATTGCTAAGCACACCTTACCCAGCAGCCCTCTACCCACAATTCTCCCAGAGGTCCCACCTGCTGTCTACCCCTCCCTGTTGCCCCCTGGACCCAGGCATCTACCCAGACCCCGGGTCTCTGGCCTGAAGACACCCCTGTCACTTGGCAGCAGAGGACCCATGGGGTGGGGAGTCATGAATTGTAGTTGCAACAATTGCAACCAGCTTGTCCTGAGACCCATACCTGCCCTGACTTTTCATACAGCACCTCATTTAATCCTCACAACAGCCCTATATTACCCTGATGTTACTGAGATGCAGGGATTAAGCAACTTTCCCAAAGATGCAAAGCCACTCATGTGTGGAGGTGGATCCAAGCTCCAGTGCTGGTGGCAGAATTTCCTTGGATGAGGAAAAGGAGGGGTGAATGGGGCTGGGAGTGGGCAGCGGGGAAGATACTCCCAGCAAGGGATTTGTACTCTAAGGAGAGGGGGATGAAATTAGTGTAGGGCTATCCTCTCCTTGGGAAAGTACCTGTTTAACTCTAACCTGAATTCTTGTTGCAGTGGCAGCTGTCTGTGATTGGGGTGAGGGAGAAATAGGTCCTAAAGTTAAAGGAAGCCAGAGGTAGGGCCACCACTCCTGTGGATGAATAAAGGGGGCCATGGCATGCTGGAAGCACATACCCTCCCCTCCCCTAGACATTCCCAGACCCACCATAGCAACAAGATGCTGGAAAAGGGAGTGTGCCTTCTCCGGGTCATGGAGAGGGTGAAGCCAACAGCAGAAGGTGGAAGCTAAGAAGACCCCATGAGCTTATGAGGGAGTGTATTGGTCATCAGTTTACCAAAGGTCAGTTTTCAACCCCTGACTGCCTGCCTCTAGCCTAGCCCATCAGCTGTGACCCTCGGCCGCATAGTAAGCTAGTCTATTGAGAGAGCTGGTGAGTCAGCAAGTCTCTGGGGACTGGTAGTTACTCAAGAGCTCTGCATAAGCCTGGGTCAGTCACTCAAGAGCTTTGCATCTGCTGGGAAGAATATGGTACATTATCTGTATCTAGATGGGTAGAGGTGGGCAGAAGGAGTAGGGGAGTCTGCGTGGGGTGGGAGTGAGACAAGAAGATGGCAAAAATCATGTAGACAGTAGTTACTGGCAGTTGGCAACATTGGTGATGGTGCAGATGCTGCCTCTGGTCATAATGGAGGGGTGGTGCTGGTGATGGAAATGGAGCTGGTGGCCGTGGTAATGATGTTGTACCAGTAGTGATGCTGGAGATGGCGGTCATATGCATAGTAACAGTAGTGCTCATAGTGGCAATATTCTGCTGGTGGTGGTAATACTGCTGGGAAAGGATGGTGATGGTTATGCTGGTGTTAGTGGTGGTAATTGTTGCTGGTGATGAGAGGATGGTTATTGATGGGTGTTAGTAGCAACGTTGGAGATGGCAGTGATGGTGCTGTAATAGGAGCAGGGATCAGACCCTTCAGCAGCCTGAATCCCCAATGTCAGAAGCACAAGGAGAGCTTCAAGTTATTCTGGAGGCAAGCTGGGGTTAGCCTCCTCCAGCCCCATCACCCTGCTGCTAACCCTTAACCCCAGCCAGCTCAGCCATAGCTATGGGGGCGGAGGAGGAGGTAGTAGGGTAGAGGAACCAGTGAGGCCAGCAGCCAGCACGTAAGAATCTACTCTATTCCTTCCACCAGAGAGCCTACGGGCATTGGGTCCAGCTGAGACCTCAGGGTCCCCCATGGCCCCCAGAGACATACCTAAGCACAGGACAGCCACAGATGAGAATGCTAACCGATACCGCACCACATTCACAGACGTGCATACGCTGACCTGTTCAGAGCACGTCAGGCTCATGTCCCAAGTTTACATATTGGACGATCGCACGTGAGAACACAAGGAGATGGAACACACTCAGGGGCACACACCCCCGACAGCGTGCGCGCAGGCTTGCGGGGGTGCGCCCTGCTCGCACGCGCACGCGCACGCGCACAGGCGGGGACGCTGTTCTGCTAAGTGAAACCAGCAGAACTCGAGACCCGCTGAGCCAATTGGAGACTCCTTGGCCCTGGAAGCCCTCGCTGCTGCCGCCAAGAGACGCGGTCAATTAACTTCTCCCTGCAGCCGAGCTCCCTGACCGGCCGGCCAGCCCCTTCCCCGCCTGCCTCCTCCTGGTTGTCCCTCCCTGGGCAGCTCCGCTGTGCCTGAAGGGGCCTGGTCCTGCCACGGCTGTCTGAGGGGGTGCAGCTCTGCCTGTCAAGGGTCTAAGGGGATGAGGCTCTGGAGTCCGGAGGGCACAGGCTTTTGGGTGGGTCACCTGGGGACATGGCCCTGCCTAAGGGTCCGAGCAGATGTGGCTGTGACTTGGGAAGTCTGAGGGCATCACAGCCCCACTCTGGGGGGGTGTCTCAGGGAATACATTAACCCCTTGTGGGTCACACTCATGGGCGGGGGGGGGGGGGGGGGGGGGGGGCAGCTGGGTTGGACATACTGAGCTGTTCCCAGAGCAGGATGCTGCCTTCACCCTCTGACTCCTCTCAAGTCAGGGGAACAGAGGCTCAGATCCTTCCCAGCGGTCACCTTTGTAGGATGAAACACTCCCCCACCCAGACCCCTGCCCCATGTTTTATTTCCCTCCTTATAAGGATGTCAGTGAGTCCTAGTTGGTGACAGCCAATGTGTGTGCAAGTTGAAAGGAAGGGAAAGGAGGACATGCCAGGCAAAGAACAGGAGGGGCAAAGGCCTGTCCCATATTATCAGAACACAGGGTCTCCTTAGATGGAGGGAGCACCTAGATAGGCAATGGAATGAGGGAGACTCCAACCAGTAGGAGTGCCCAACCCAATTCTGGCCACTCATCTTCTTGGGACCCTAAGTGGGAGGGGCTGAGACACTCACCATTCACTGGAGAAAGCATTCACTGGGCAGCTGGGCCAGGATGGAAACTGATAACTCCCAAGGTTCCCCAGGGCTCCAAGATTAAAGGAATCCAGGCTGGGTTTGTCTTTCCAGAGTTCACCACTCCTTATCCACCCCACACACATCCAGGTCCCCAGCAGGCAGCCAGGATCCTGTGAGGATCCACTCTGGGACATTCCATCCTTTTCCCATGTACCCCTGGGGAAAGAACCAGACAGAGAACATTAGAGGCTGTAGCCCACAGGGTTACTGGCGGGCAGGCAGGGGACAGCCCCCTCCTTTTTCCATTTGATTAAGTAGGCCCTACCTCCTGGAGCCACTGCTTCCTATCTGTAAATTGGAAGCTACGTAGGGCAGATTTTCCTCATGTGGCAGGCTTTCCACATTCCCTATAGAGTCACAGCCTTTACAAAACAGGGATCCCTCTGGGAGGTTGGGATAGCTCTGGGACCACTGCTGCACTGAAGAGTCTTGCCTGTGGGTCTGGCCTTCGGCTTGACAGGTGGACGCAGATGACGTCATGACTAAAGAGGAACAGATCTATCTGCTGCACCGTGCCCAGGCCCAGTGTGAGAAGCGGCTCAAAGAAGTCCTGTGGAAGCCAGGTGGGAGCGGGGCCAGATGAGGAGGTTCTGGGGATGGGGTCAGCAGTGCCAGATGAGGGTTGGGTGTAGAACAGGTGAACAGTGTGGGTGAGGGTGGACTCAGATAAGGGGGCCAGGCCAAAGTGAGGGCCAAAAGTAGAGTGGGTCATGCAAATGTGGAGTCAGCAGTCTCAGGTAGTCTTAGGCTTGCCCTAAGTCCTGTGGACAAAGTCCCTGAGCTGCCCGACATCAGCCCTCAGATATCCTCAGCCCCCACTGACATTCTCTCAACACACACATGGCTGGGAGTGGGGATGGCAAGAGCCTTAGTGCAGGACTTCCCCTCTTGGGCTGGTAGCAGTTGAAGTCCGAATCATCCCGAAAGTCTAGTGGGGCAAGCAGGATCAGGAACTGTGACTAGGATGCCAGCCCGCAACAGTGTGGCCTGGGACAGCTTCCTGAAGGAGGAGTTAGCTGAGCCAAATCCAGAAAGATGGATCCAGAAAGAGGTCTCCAGGGTGGGGAGAACTGACGGTCTGTGGGGCTGGATGGGCCAGGGTGAGGATAGAGGAATAGGAATGGATATTTCAGACTCAGTTATGGTCATCAGCTGGCAGGGAGGGTGCTTGACCTGGATAGGATGCTTGATCTATGTAAGGAGGGTTCCCTCCCACCAGCACAGCCTCTCTGTGGGACCCCTGCCTCCAGGAAGGGGAGCAGCACCTCATTCGACTGCTCCTGTACTCCCTCTCACGCTGGGCTCTTCCCCACCCACTTCCTTGAATTCATTTCCTGGAAACCAAGATGGGTCCTCATTAGCATCCACCCAGGCCTTTGGTGTCTGTCTGCTTAATCTCATCAACCTGAAGAGGCCCAAACCTACAAGAGAAACATCCTCCCCTGAGCTGGCACTTAGGCTGCTGAGGGGAACAACACTGACACACACCCAGAACGCACGCATACAATGACATACACACTCTGTAGCACACAGACCTAAGTACAAGCTCACAGAGCTTCATATAGTCTCTGCAGTCACAGCCCCACCTGCCACTGGTTCCCAGACATATCAAGATCTGGAGGATCATGTGGACCTGGCCCTTCTCACTCTGGGTTCTGAGCCTAGCCTTCTTCCTAGTTGTGGAAACCTGGGGGAAGCCTCTCTCTGCCCCCTCCCCATCCATAATGAAGCTTCTCCTTCCCTCATCCTGCTACCCACCCCTCAACACTGATGTCTGAAGATGGAGGCAGGGAAACAGACACAGCAATTCTCATCCAAGTCTAGGCCGCCAAGACTCCGTTTCCCATCACTGGCATAGACCCCAGCTTGGGAGGCTCAGGGGCCCTGGCTTGGGCTGTAGCTGAAGCAGGTAATGTGGAGGATTTGCAGTTGGGAAGATAGACCTATGGCATTTCTCCAATGGAGAGAAAGGCCAGGCCCTGTCTCAGATGAGTCTCCAGGGTCACTGTGGAAGCTGTGAATCCCTTACTCAAGCATCCTGGGGCAGGGAATAGGATAGGGTAGGTGGCCTTGTCTGTCCACTTTGACAAACTACACCACCTTGCTTTTGTCTTCCTCATTGCTAGCTGCTTCACCTGCACAGCACTCTGGTCATTTCATTTTTGCTGTGTAATGAGTCTGTGAACATCTCCTCCCCTTTTGTCCACTTTTACTATGCGCCCCCTGGTGGGGTCTTCACTCCCGTGTGCCCTTGCTCTGACTTTTGGGTGGAAGGGCAACACCTCTGCTGTCTCACCCATGTTTACTGTTCAGACCACTAGCTGATCCTATACTCACATGGATTTACTCCTATTGGAACCCGGGCTGAAAATCTCCATCTCTTCTTTTTACTTTTCCACCTGGCAAGCACTTTACAGTTTGTGCACTTTGATGGGCACTTTGTCACCCATCATCTCAGTTATCAGCCTGGCAGAGAAAAAAACCTCATTGTTCAAAAGGGGAGTTGGAGGCAGGAGGGTACCTCCTGTTATAGCACAACTGACAGCTATAATTACCCTGATTTCTCCAGCTGACATAATGGAATCAGACAAGGGATGGACATCTGCATCCACATCGGGGAAGCCCAGGAAAGAGAAGGCATCTGAGAAGCTCTACCCTGAGTCAGAGGAAGACAAGGAGCCATTCACTGGCAGCAGGCACCAAGGTACACACGTGCTTCCACGCATCTATCTGACATGGGCGTGGGCCTGCTCACTCCTACCACTCACCACTCTGCCCCCTCATATGATCCCCTACTGTGGAAAGTAAAAGGCTGCAGCCCACTCCCCAGGAAAGCAGGGAAGGGGCTAGGAGGAGACAGAACCTAGGAGGCAGCATGTGGGGGGTAGGTGAGTGGAATGGGCTCTGGCCCAGGGAGATATACATAGAAAAGTCACCCAGCAGTGCTCCTAGCTCGTAGCTCAGTGGGTAGGGCACCAGCCACATACACCAGGGCTGGCGGGTTTGAACCTGGCCTGGGCCTGCTAAAACAACAATGATAACTGCACCAAAAAAATAGCTGGGTATTGTTGTGGTGGGCACCTATAGTCCAGCTACTTGGGAGGCTGAAGCAAGAGAATCACTCAAGCCCAAAAGTCTAGGATTGCTGTGAGCTGTGATGCCCAGGCACTCTACCCAGGGTGAAAGCTTGAGACTCTGTCTCAAAAAAAGAGAAAGAAAAGTCACCCAGCACCACCCCAGGGGTAGATCCAAGGCTGTATCCCCACCTACATAGAGATACACAGAGACAGAGAGAGAGGCACACAGAAAGAGGGAGAGACATAAAGACAGAGATAAAGAAAGACAGAGTTACAGAGAGAGAAAGGGGACCAGCAGTCACAAATCGAAGGCTTAGAACTCAGTGTATCAGAGAAGGTGCACCAGGACACATAGTGAGGACAGAAAGAGAATAGGAGGAGAGAGCAGCAGCAGAAGGATGGGGCAGAGACAGTGGAGAGAAGAGAAGGGAGGGAGGGAGATGAGGAGAGACAAACACAGAGCCCAAGCTTTGGCCACAGGGCTGGTTTGAACCGGCTGGGTGGGCAGTGGATTCCAGATGGGCCACATCTGGGAGGCTGTGGTCACCCTGTGGCTCCCTGGGGACCAGAGGGAATTGTGGGCCTGGCTGGGCGGGGCTGGGAATATGGCGCCCAGGACAGAGAGCCTTTCACCAAACTGGGCGAGTCCCACCATCAAGGCAGCCTTCCAGGATGGCTGGAGAGTCCTGTGGTTGGAGCCCTACACGGGGAGAGAAAGAGGCTGCAGGCTGGGGGTGGGATCTGGAAGATCCATAGGCTGGGAAACCTCCAAGGTCACTTAGCATCTGTGCAGTGAGGCTGGGGTCCAAAGGTGGGATGTGTCCCTCTGCTGTGAATCTCATCATTAATAATTAGACTTGGGAGATGGTATCTTTCCCCATGGGAAAGTGGCCATGGGAGTCTCATTGCAGGTACTCAGGGCAGCTTTGAGTGGTGGTAGAAGTACAGGCTGATATGGTTAATCCCAACTTTCCAGTGAGGAAACTGAAATGCAAATATTGGGGACACATTTGAGTAAGGTTGGCAGCTCCTTGTCCAGCTGGCACTAGAAACCAGACCTCCTGCCTCCCCTCATGATCCCAAGGGAAGGGTCACATAAGGAGCTTCCTAGCAGAAGGAGAGTTAGTCTGGGAATCAGGCCTTCTTCAGAGACACCTGAAAGGTGGGACCAGAGAGAAAGGAGAAAGGGCCAACTGGGGCTGAGTGTGTGAGGAGGGCAAGGCCCTCTGTTGTATGACCACAGTAAGTCACTCACCTGTCTTGGCTTCCTCTAGCCCATCTGGAAAATGGGGCCAGTGCCACTACCTGCATCACAGAGGCTGTAGTAAATTCTGTGACTCCAGGTGGGGGCACATCAGGGAATAAGGGCATAATACGTCTGCTACAGAATGCTCAAGGCACACTTTTTCAGTCTTGGGACACACCTGTACCTGCAGGAACCAACAGCAACAGGTGTGTTGGTAACTCAATGTCACTAACCATGGACTTGACTCTCTCCCCTTTCCCGTGTGTTTCTGGCATAGGGCGCCCCTGCCTGCCTGAGTGGGACCACATCCTATGCTGGCCACTGGGGGCACCAGGTGAGGTGGTAGCTGTGCCCTGTCCTGAATACATTTATGACTTCAATCACAAAGGTAAGGCCAGCTGAAGTGGGATGGGGATCACAGGGATGCCAGGGCTTGGAGCTCAGGGCTTCAGTGACTCCAGACTTCTCTCTGCTCCCCTGGCGTTCCCCCGAACCTGCAGGCCATGCCTATCGACGCTGTGACCGAAATGGCAGCTGGGAACTGGCACCTGGACACAACCGGACATGGGCCAACTACACCGAATGTGTCAAGTTCCTGACTAATGAGACTCGTGAACGGGTGCGAGCCTTCCTCCTCCCCAACCTGACTCTAAGTTCTCCCCTACTCCACTAGTGACCCTGAGATAGCCCTGACTCCTGACCTTGACTTTTCTAGCAACCTTAACCTGGCCTCTTACCCTGACGCTCACCCTGAGTCCCAGGGCTCTGACTGTCTCCCCACCTGCACAGGAGGTGTTTGACCGCCTAGGCATGATCTACACAGTGGGCTACTCGGTGTCTCTGGCCTCCCTCACTGTGGCTGTGCTCATCCTGGCCTACTTCAGGTGGGTGGGACGAGGGGCGGGGCAAAGCCACCTAGAGGAGGAGGGCGTGCTCAAGGGTGGGGCAGAGGTGCCTCCTCCCCGACTTCATTGCACCCCTCCCCCCCGCTGGGGTCCCTACCCACTGCGCACAGCCCAGCTTTCTGCCTGCCCACCGCACGTCCCCGTGCCCCCACCCACGGTGATGTTGCGCGCCCCGCAGGCGGCTGCATTGCACACGCAACTATATCCACATGCATCTGTTCCTGTCCTTCATGCTGCGTGCGGTGAGCATCTTTGTCAAGGACGCGGTGCTCTACTCTGGCACTACGCTCAACGAGGCTGAGCGCCTCGCGGAGGAAGAGCTACGCGCCATCGCCCAAGCACCTCCGTCGTCCGCCGCAGCAGCCGGCTACGTGAGTGCCCCTACGCGACCCGCGCGTGCCCACACCGGCTTCGTGGAAGCCCCTACCTGTGCGCCTGGCCCTTGCCCCTACCTATCTCCTGCCACTACCACTAGCTTAAGATCATTCAAACCCACCTCACAGGGTTCCTCACACCCCTCAGCTCTGCTGCCAGCCCCTCTGCTTAGGGTTTCTGTATGATCCAGACTCCCTACCTAAGAGTGCCTCTCCTGTCTCATCCCCTACCCTAGCCACACCACCCCATCACCTGGCTGCCTGCCCTGACAACACCACACACACCCCTTAGGAAGCCCCCAGTGGCACCTGCCCCTCCTTGCCTGCTTGGCTAGCACCACTTGTCCTGTCCCACCAGCCGGGCCCCCCTCCCCCAGCCCTGCTTCCCCTCCCAGTACCCAGCCTAGCCCTGCTTCCCCAGATGCAGGCCCTGCCCTCTGGCTAACTGCAGCTGGTCTCTTAGGCGGGCTGCCGGGTGGCTGTGACCTTCTTCCTTTACTTCCTGGCCACCAACTACTACTGGATACTGGTGGAGGGGCTGTACCTGCACAGCCTCATCTTCATGGCCTTCTTCTCAGAGAAGAAGTACCTGTGGGGCTTCACAGTCTTCGGCTGGGGTATGCAGGCATAGGGGCAGTGAGGCGCAGGCAAGGGTGGGAGCTGGGGGGGCAGGGGGAGAGGGCACCTACTGAAGGTAGGGTGCCCATAGCATAGCCTGGATATGGGACAGCAGGTGGGAGGCCTGCCACCCTTCTGTGACTGACCCCATTCCAGACTTACAAAATGGGGCTTGACCCCAGGTCAGATTCACCTGGGGTTGAGGCCCAGCTCAGGAGAAGGAAGAGGTACCTCCAGATCAAGATTCAGCTCATGATCAGAGTAGGATCTTGGTCAGAGGTCAGACTGGGCAGTTGGGGTCTGGAACCGTCCTTCCATCTTGAATGCTGTGGGCTAGGCCAACATCTGTTACTCCACTAATCTCCTCACTGGGATGGACTGGGGGAACCTTGCAGGTTTGCAGGGTCCATGGCCCAGAGCCATAGGCCCAGCCTCTCAGCACCATCTAGGCTTCAGCAGCCTGTCTGCAGAATGGGTTACTGGGACTGAGCACTCATCCCAGCCCCCCATGGCTCTGGGATCTAGTTACTGATAATTGTCCATTATTGTTGGCAGCTCCAGAGCTTGGCTGGGCTCCGGGGCAACTGGCCAGACTGCAGAAGGGTGGGCCGGGTGGCTGGAGCCCTCTCTGTGCTCATCACCCAGAGGCCCTCAGGTCAACAGCTACTGCCTCCCTGCCTGTTGGCACCACATCCTCACCCTGACGTCACCATAACTAGCCCCCGAGTTAGAGGAGACCTGGACCTGGTCCTGGGAGCTGATACAGGAGTTAGGAAGTGTCCGGGTGGACTGGAGTCATGTGGATTAGGAAGTGCATAGCACTATGGGAGACAGAAATGTCACAGCTCATTTCCTTACTGTAAACTCAGATCATGCCCTATCCCTCCAAGGGTGTACCAGGTCTAGAATCAAGTTAGTTGGGGCAGGACTTAGGAGTCCTTTCACAGAGGTGGAGCTCACTTAGAGGTACTGTGTACCACCTGAGCTGGCTCAGGCCAAGACATACAGAGGTTCCCCTGTGGCCCCTGCCTGGGACAGAAACCCCCACTCTATCCAGCCTCATCCATGAGGGCTAGGACCTTTTAAACCAAGTTGGTGGGGGAGGGGTTTTCTGGGACAAAAAATGCTGATAAGAGGTTCCCCCATGGGAGCAGCACCCTTCATGGGAGAAGGGGTAATGTCCAAGGACTTGGATAAATTAAGGATACTGTACTATTTCACATGTGCCCCACAGTTTTGCACATGACACAGCACCAAGATGGCGACAGAGGGCTGAGCTGGGTCCTATGGGCTAGAGCCCTAAGGAGAGACTGGTGGGGCAGTACATGCCAGAATATAGCTCTGTCACCAGACAGCCCACATCCCTGGGGTGAGGGGATCAGAGCAATGACAGAATGAGCTGGGGGTCATCAAGGATGAGGTGGGAGGTATGGATGGCATCCACAGCCCCTCACACACTGCCCCCTCTGTGCCCACAGGTGTGCCTGCTGTCTTCGTGGCCGTATGGGTCAGTGTCAGGGCTACCCTGGCCAACACTAGGTAGGTCCAGGTGGAGAAGAGGGCTAGGCCAGAAACACCCCTGGTACTCTTTCCCCCGTGAATCAGGACCTTCTATACCCTGGCCCTGAGTGGCCTCAGCTCCAGGAGGTCTAGTTCAGCATCTAGCTGGAAACCCCCTCAGAGTCAGAAAGGACTACTTGCAAAGAGGCCTATGTGGGTGCCCTAAGTCCTAGTCACACTCAACATCTCCTGTTCCTGTGTCTCTGACAGCTAATGTCAGAATAGCTTAACTCTGAGGCTTCTGTGGGCTGGCTTAAGATGGGAACAGAAGGGGAGGGAGCTAATGCCGCATTCTCCCCAGGTGCTGGGACTTGAGCTCTGGGAATAAGAAGTGGATCATCCAGGTGCCCATCCTGGCCTCCATTGTGGTGAGCAGGGGTGGGTAGGAGTGTGCACCTGGGCCCCATCACCAGTCCCAACAGAGATCTGCAGCAGGGTGCGAGCCACAAAAGCCCAAGGACCACCTGATCGCCACTTTAGTCCAAATAGGGAAGCCAAGGGCCCAAAGAGCCACGTAGAGATCCATAGCGGAGCAGGGCCTGTGGCAGGACCATGAGCCAGAGTCCTTGCCCCACCCCATTGGGCGCAGCCTCGAGACCCAGCCTCCCTCACTCCCACAGCTCAACTTCATCCTCTTCAGCAACATCGTCCGGGTGCTTGCCACCAAGCTACGGGAGACCAACGCTGGCCGGTGTGACACACGGCAGCAGTACCGGTGAGCCATGCCTGCCATACCTTGGCTCCTCAGAGCTGGGGATAGAGTTCAGGGGTCACTGAATCCAAGTACCACGTACACAGGAAAGACAAAGGCAAGAGAAGTATCCAGCTTCTGACTCCCTAGCTATCCCCACCCACCCAACGGGCCAGCCCCAGGTATCTTGTCTCATTTCTGGAGGCCCTGGGGCACCCTAAGACCTAGAGTTGGGGTCTGCAAGGGTGGGACAAACCCAGACCTTTCCCCAAAGAGCTGGTCACAGGGACCCCAAGTGACAGGTGAGAAGTGGGTGGCCCCAAGAAGGCCACAGCTCAGCTGAAACTCTCAGGAATGGGCATGGGAGGGTGAGTGCATGCCATCTGAGGGGCCAGCAGGGACGGGGGGGAGGCTATAATTTGTGGTCCATTCCAGGACACTGCTGTGAAGCAAGGGGCCCTCTTCACACTTTAGTGACAGTAGTTATCCCAAGCGAACTGCTTTATTCTCCCATGGTGGCCAGAGCTTCTGGAGCCTGTGGCTGGCAGGGTATGGGGTGGCACAATGCTTCTTGAGGGGGAAGTGGCTGGACCCTGATCTACCTGCCCTGCCGGCCCAGGAAGCTGCTGAAATCCACGTTGGTGCTCATGCCACTATTTGGTGTCCACTACATCGTCTTCATGGCCATGCCGTACACCGACATTTCAGGGACGATCTGGCAAGTCCAGATGCACTATGAGATGCTCTTCAACTCCTTCCAGGTGCATGGCTCAGCTGAGGCTGGCTGAGAGTGGGTGGGGCAGAAGGGGCGGGAAGAGTGGGAGGGGTTGCCCCTAATCCCAGACACCTCTCTCCACAGGGCTTTTTTGTCGCCATCATATACTGTTTCTGTAATGGTGAGGTAAGCAGTAGGCAGGGTTGGGGCGGGGCAGGGAGGAGGCACATGTGCCAGGGGCTTCCTCAAAATTTTGTGTCTTGTCTTCTGTCCTGTTCTTTCTTTGTTCTGAGAAAATCCCTGAGGACATTCTGAAGGCAGAGAGAAGTCTTTCCAGATGATTTAGCCTCAGGATGTGCTAGGATCTGGGGGTTCTTCAATCTCCAGCATAGCCAAGGGTCTTTCCAGCCCCCAGTTGAATTCTCTGTAACCCAGATTGGGGGACTCAGCTCCTTTCGGGGCTGTTTGAGCCTGTAGATTCTACATATGCCAATGCCTGCAGCCAGGCACCATGTTTTGAGGATGATAGGCTTTTACTTGGCCTCGGAATTTTCTAGTAGACCCTACTCCTCAGTTTTCATTCAGTGCCAGGTGTTGCAGGGACAGGATGGGGGCACTGCTGGGGTTGTGAGCACACCTAAGTACCCACCCTCCTACCGCCCACAGGTACAGGCTGAGATTAAGAAATCTTGGAGTCGCTGGACACTGGCACTGGACTTCAAGCGCAAGGCACGCAGTGGAAGCAGCAGCTACAGCTATGGCCCAATGGTGTCTCACACGAGTGTGACTAATGTAGGCCCCCGTGCAGGACTTGGCCTGCCTCTCAGCCCCCGCCTACTACCCACTGCTACCACCAATGGCCACCCCCAGATGCCTGGCCATGCTAAGCCAGAAGCCCCAGCTTTGGAGACCTTTGAGACCATACCACCTGCCATAGCTGCTCCCAAGGACGATGGGTTCCTGAATGGCTCCTGCTCAGGTCTAGATGAGGAGACCTCCGGACCTGAGCGGCCACCTGCCCTGCTACAGGAAGAGTGGGAGACAGTCATGTGACCAGGCACTGGGGGTTGGTCCTGCTGACATTGGTGGATGGACAGATGAACCAAGAGATGGGTGGTTGAATGGTTGCCCACTTAGGGCGAGGGCTGGGAGAAAAAATAGGGGAAAAAAAAGAAAAAAAAAAGGAAAAGGAAGCGGTGTGTGGCTTCCTGTGGTTTGAACTGGAGACTTGCTCTGAGTGGGGAGGGGCTGGGTGTCATGGGGGGTGGGGGGAGGCCACCCAGGAGTGGGAGAGGGGCTGTGAGTCATAGAAGAGTCCTTGGGTCTCACTCGAGGAGGGGTAAGGATCCAGAGGCAAGTGGCATGGTCCAACAGAAAGGGCCCATAAAAGCTCCAGTTTGCAGGGGTCAAACAGCAACAAGAGGACCCATGTGGGAATCTGACCTCAGCCTTCTCCTGACACCACTGCCACCTGAACCACTCTCCATACTTATACCTAGCTGCTCCTTTGAACCAACTCTTCTGGCTGCAGGCCCCCTTCTGCCCACACAGCATTGACAGCAGATGCTTCTCAGCAGATCCCTCAGGTCCCTGCTACATCACCAACCCTGGCTTAGATGATTCTTCCCTGGCTGTCTGGTGGTAGCCCTCAGGGAGCCTTCCATCCATGACCCTCATCCCCATCCAGGCCTGACATTCCTCCAGAAACCAGACAGAGGGTATAGGGGAGTGCCAGGGCCAGCAAGTAAAGGACAGGCTGGGGTCTCTGCTCTGGCTCAGGAACTGTGGGGAGCCAGGAGTCTGAGCCCAGAGGGTGGCTGGGTGAGGGTCTACAAAGCTGGGCATATCCACTCATGAGGCACCTAGGACAGCCACTAAGCATCCTTACCTAACACCCCCACCACCACCCTACCTGCCCCTGGACCCTGCCCACGCTCATCTTGGGCCATTCAAGGGCCCTAGACTGGCACAGCCCCTACTAAGTCTGACACCCTGAGGGCTGGCCCAGTTGTATGCCCACTCCATGCCCTGCCCTAAACGAGCTTCTTGCTCTTGCTCAAGCCTACAGACAGCCAATGCACAAGCTGGTGCCTCTGCCTGGCCCTGCCTTCTCTTTTCCAGCCCAAATTGTCTTACTCTTCTCCATGGATGGCATCCAAGAAGGCTCCTCATTTCCAACAGTCTAACCTACCCAGTGGGGTAAGGCAAGAAGTCATGAGGTCTAAGACAACAAACTCACTTGGGTGGTAGGTGATGTGAGTGTGTGCTGAGCAACCTCAGGCTGGGCTAAGGCAAGCAGGGCAAACTACCATCCAAAGGTCTGGTACACTCATGGAGATCCATGTGTTGGGACCTATTCATAATGGTAGGAGAGAGGCATAAGCCAGGTTCTGAAGGGCCACTGAGCCAGGCTGAGCACCAAGCACTCCCATAGATGCTAGGAAGCACTGGGAGCCACTTGAAGTTGTGGAGGGAGAGCATTTAGAAGAGTTCCTGGCTCGGCACCTGTGGCTCAAGTGGCTAAGGCGCCAGCCACATACACCTAAGGTGGCGGGTTCGAATCCAGCCTGGGCCCGCCAAACAACAATAATGGCTGCAACCAAAAAAAAATATATAGACAGGTGTTGTGGCGGG